TGGGGTTCCCAGGGGGGTTTTGGGGGGTCTGGGAGGGGTTTTGGGGAAGTTTGGGGGGTCCTGGGTTTGGGCTGTGTTTGGGGTTCAGGGCTGGATTTAGGATTTGGGGCTGGGTTTTGGGGTTCAGGGCTGGGTTTTGGGGTTCAGGGCTGATTTTGGGGTTCGGGGCTGATTTTGGGGTGCTGTGCCCCCCAGCCGCTGCCCCCCGGGGACTGGAACGCCCCCGAGCTCCGGTACCGGGTGCAGTGATGGGGGTGGGGTTCAGGGCTGATTTGTTTTGGGGTTCAGGGCTGGATTTAGAGCTGGGTTTTGGGGTTCAGGGCTGGGTTTTGGGGTTCAGGGCTGATTTTGGGGTTCAGGGTTGATTTTGAGGCTCGGGGCTGATTTTTGGGGTGCTGTGCCCCCCAGCCGCTGCCCCCCGGGGACTGGAACGCCCCCGAGCTCCGGTACCGGGTGCAGTGATGGGGGTGGGGTTCAGGGCTGATTTGTTTTGGGGTTCAGGGCTGATTTGTTTTGGGGTTCAGGGCTGATTTGTTTTGGGGTTCAGGGCTGATTTGTTTTGGGGTTCAGGGCTGATTTGTTTTGGGGTTCAGGGCTGATTTGTTTTGGGGTTCAGGGCTGATTTGTTTTGGGGTTCAGGGCTGATTTGTTTTGGGGTTCAGGGCTGATTTGTTTTGGGGTTCAGGGCTGATTTGTTTTGGGGTTCAGGGCTGATTTGTTTTGGGGTTCAGGGCTGATTTGTTTTGGGGTTCAGGGCTGATTTGTTTTGGGGTTCAGGGCTGATTTGTTTTGGGGTTCAGGGCTGATTTTTGGGGTGCTGTGCCCCCCAGCCGCTGCCCCCCGGGGACTGGAACGCCCCCGAGCTCCGGTACCGGGTGCAGTGGCGGCCGCTGGAGCCGGGCCGGGGCCGCTGGGCCGAGGCCACGGTCGGGGAGCCCCCCCTGGTGGTCCGGGACACCCCAACTTTCAGCCCCTACGAGATCCGCGTCCAGGCCGTCAACGAGGCCGGGAAGGGCCCCGAGCCCCCCGTGGTCATCGGCTACTCCGGGGAGGACCGTGAGTCTGGGGGACCCCAAAACAACCCAGCGGGAGGGGAGACCCCAAATCGGGGGACAGCCAAAATCTGGGGGTGCTGAGAGACCCCAAATCGGGGGAGACCCCAAATCGGGGAGACCCCAAATCGGGGGAGAGAGCCCGAATCATGGAAACCCCAAATCTGGGGATGCTGAGGGACCCCAAATCTGGGGAGACCCCAAATCTGGGAATGCTGAGAGACCCCAAATCTGGGGAGATTCCCAAATCGGGGAGAGCCCAAATCGGGGGAGAGCCCAGATCTGGGGGTGCTGAGAGACCCCAAATCTGGGGAGATCCCAAATCTGGGGAGATTCCCAAATCGGGGGAGACCCCAAAAAGGGGAAGAGAGCTCGAATCGGGGAGACCCCAAATCTGGGAGACCCCAAAGAGGGGGGAGAGCCCAAATCGGGGGGAGCCCAAATCTGGGGGTGCTGAGAGACCCCAAATCTGGGGAGGTCCCAAAGAGGGGGGTGATAGAGAGCCCAAATCTGGGGGTGGTGGAAGACCCCAAATCTGGGGTGCTGGAAACCCCAAATCTGGGGAGACCCCAAATCTGGGGAGAGCCCAAATCGGGGGAGAGAGCCTGAATCGTGGAAACCCCAAATCTGGGGTGCTGAGAGACCCCAAATCTGGGGAGGTCCCAAAGAGGGGGGTGATAGAGAACTCAAATCTGGGGAAGATCCCAAATTATGGGGTGGTGGGAGAGAAATGGGGGAAAGACCCCAAATTGGGGGTGGTGAGAGACCCCAAATCTGGGGCAGACCCCAAATTTGGGGGAAATCCCAAATCTGGGGATGCTGGAGAACCTAAATCCCGGGGAGACCCCAAATCTGGGGGTGGTGGGGGATCCCAAGGTGAGGGGGGCCCCAAATTTGGGAATTTTGGGAGATGCAAGGTGGGGGGGAGCCCAAATCTGGGAATTTTGGGACAGCCGGATGGGGGGGGACCCCAAATCCGGGAATCTCAGAAGATCCGCGTTGGGGGGGACCCCAAATCTGGGCTTGACCCCAAACCCGGGGCTGCATTTTGGGGTTGAATCCCCCTTTTGGGGGGGGTCAGAGCACCCTGATTTCGGGGGGATTTTGGGGGGGGTTACCCTGTGTTTGGGGGGGTCCTGAGCCCCCCCGACCCCCCCCAGTGCCCCTGGTGTACCCCGAAAACGTGGGGGTGGAGATCCTGAACAGCACCAGCGTCCGCGTCACCTGGAGCCTGGGCGGGGCCGCGCGTGACCTGCGGGGACACCTGAGGGGCTACCGGGTGAGGAGCCCCGGAATTCCCGGAATTCCGAAGGGAAACCCCGAAATCCCGATGGGAAACCCAAAATCCCTAAGGGAAACCCCAAAATCCCAAAGGGAAACCCCAAAATCCCGATGGGAAACCCAAAATCCCAAAGGGAAATCCCAAAATCCCGATGGGAAACCCCAAAATCCCGACGGGAATTCCTGAAATCCCTAAGGGAATCCCCAAAATCCCAAAGGGAAACCCAAAATCCCAAAGGGAAACCCAAAATCCTGCAGGGAATCCCCAAAATCCCAAAGGGAAACCCAAAATCCCAAAGGGAAACCCAAAATTCCTAAGGGAGACCCCAAAATCCCAAAGGGAAACCCAAAATTCCTAAGGGAAACCCCAAAATCCCAAAGGGAAACCCCAAAATCCCACTGGGAATTTCCCAAATCCCGCCCAGAATTCCCGAAATCCCAACAGGAAACCCCAAAATCCTGCAGGGGCGCCCAGAATTCCTAAGGGAAATCCCAAAATCCCAAAGGGAAACCCCAAAATCCCAAAGGGAAACCCAAAATTCCTAAGGGAGACCCCAAAATCCCAAAGGGAAACCCAAAATTCCTAAGGGAAATCCCAAAATCCCGATGGGAATTCCTGAAATCCCAAAGGGAAACCCCAAAATCCCAAAGGGAAACTCAAAATCCCAAAGGAAAAACCCAAAATCCCAAAGGGAAACCCAGAATTCCTAAGGGAAACCCCAAAATCCCAAAGGGAAACTCAAAATCCCAAAGGAAAAACCCAAAATCCCAAAGGGAAACCCAGAATTCCTAAGGGAAACCCCAAAATCCCGACAGCCCAAATTCCTGCTGGGAAACCCCAAAATCCCAAAGGGAAACCCAAAATCCTGCAGGGAAACCCAAAATCCCAAAGGGGATCCCAAAATCCCAAAGGGAAACCCAAATCCTGCAGGGAAACCCAAAATCCCGAAGGGAAACCCAAAATTCCTAAGGAAAATCCCAAAATCCCCAAGGGAAAGCCAAAATTCCAAAGGGAAAACCCAAAATCCCGCAGGGAAACCCAAAATCCTGCAGGGAAACCCCAAAATCCCGACAGGAATTCCTAAAATCCCAATGGGAATTCCCAAAATCCCAACAGGAATTCCTGAAATCCGAATGGGAAACCCCAAATTCCTGCAGGGAAACCCAAAATCCTGCAGGGAAACCCCAAAATCCCAAAGGGAAAGCCAAAATTCCAAAGGGAAAACCCAAAATCCTGCAGGGAAACCCAAAATCCCAAAGGAAAACCCCAAAATCCTGCAGGGAAACCCAAAATTCCCCCAGAATTTCCAAAATCCTGCAGGCAAACCCTAAAATCCCAAGGAGAATCCCCAAAATCCCGCCCAGAATTCCCAGAATCCCATCGGGAATCCCCCAAATCCCAACCTGGGGGTTCCTGGGAACGTGGAGGGGAAAATTTGGGGCATTTTGGGGAAGAATTTGAACACAGCTTTGGGGGGATTTTGGTGGATTTTTGGGGTGGGTTTGGGGCATTTTTGGGTGGATTTTTGGGGGATTTTGGCCATTTTTGGGTGGGTTTTGGAACATTTTTTAGGGAAACCCAAAATTCCTAAGGGAAATCCCAAAATCCCGACAGGAATTCCTGAAATCCGAATGGGAAACCCCAAAATCCCAAAGGAATCCCCCAAATCAACCCAGAATTTCCAAAATCCTGCAGGCAAACCCTAAAATCCCAAGGAGAATCCCCAAAATCCCGCCCAGAATTCCCAGAATCCCATCGGGAATCCCCCAAATCCCAACCTGGGGGTTCCTGGGAACGTGGAGGGGAAAATTTGGGGCATTTTGGGGAAGAATTTGAACACAGCTTTGGGGGGATTTTGGTGGATTTTTGGGGTGGGTTTGGGGCATTTTTGGGTGGATTTTTGGGGGATTTTGGCCATTTTTGGGTGGGTTTTGGAACATTTTTTGGGGGAATTTTAAGGTGGTTTTGGGGCAGTTTCGGAGCATTTTATGAGGGGAATTTTAGGCTTTTTTTGAGGGGAATTTAAGGCATTTTTGGGGGGGTTTGGCCATTTTTGTGTGGGCTTTGTGGCATTTTGGGGGATTTTGGCCATTTTTGGGGGGGTTTTGTGCCATTTTTGGGTGAGTTTTGTCAATTTTCCAGCGGGTTTGTGGCATTTTTGGGTGAGTTTTGGCCATTTTTGGGTGGAGTTTGGCCATTTTCGGGTGGGTTTTGTGCCATTTTCGGGTGGATTTTGTGCCATTTTTGGGTGAGTTTTCTCCATTTCGGCTAGGTTTTATGGCATTTTTTGACGTTTTCCCCATTTTTGGGGTTATTTTGTGCCATTTTTGGGCGGGTTTGGGCCGGTTTTGGGTGAGTTTTGTCAATTTTTGGTAGGTTTTGTGCCATTTTGGGTGAGTTTTCTCCATTTTCGGGTGGGTTTTGTGCCATTTTTGGGTGGGTTTTGTGCCATTTTCAGGTGGGTTTGTGGCATTTTGGGTGAGTTTTCTCCATTTTGGGTGGGTTTTGTGCCATTTTTGGTAGGTTTTGTGCCGGTTTTGGGTGAGTTTTCTCCATTTCGGGTAGCTTTTATGGCATTTTTTGAGGTTTTACCCATTTTCAGGGTTATTTTGTGCCATTTTTGGGCGGGTTTGTGCCAGTTTTGAGTGAGTTTTCTCCATTTCGGGTAGCTTTTACGGCATTTTTTGACGTTTTACCCATTTTTGGGCGGGTTTGTGCCATTT